TGATAGTGAATGATCCTTTTGTGTAGCCTCCAAGCCTTTGTTGACAGCCCCTTTCCCTTCTCATCTCACTTTTCTGCTGCTTTTTCTGCTGTACCAAACCAATGGCTCTTGCAAAAGCTTCAATTTTCAGAATTTCCATTCTTGGCAACAATTATGGCCACTTTCTTGGTGCAACCCCACTTTTTCCACTTCTAGTATGCTGCTTTTGCTGTATTTTTTCTGCAGCACTCCACCTTGCTATCCATCCTTGTGTCCATTGGTTGGTTATGCTTGGATTTACTCATGTAGTCTATACCACTACCTTTTGACAGCATTTTCAAATTCTGATTTTTGATGTGTAGATGTATCAACATAAGCTCATAGCCTTGGTTTTGTGACATAAAATGATTTTGTAATATGATACACATTGCCACTTCTTGCATGGGGCTGTTTTGGATTGCATTCATATTTCTCATGGTTGAACATACATAGCCTTGATCTTGAGATATTTCAACATTGAATTAGCTCTTAAATATTTTCCTTGTATGTTTGTAAGCACAAAGAGGACCATGTGGACTTGATGAGGCATGGGGATACCATGGCATGAAGTTATTTTTAGAAACTTGAATTAAGACTAGAAGTAACTTAATTTCTTAAGCATTACCAAGAATTTGGATTTTGTAACAAATGTGACATTCTTGCAAATGTCATGAAATTTTCTTTGTAATATTCTTAATCTAGCCTTGAATTCATGAATCTTGAATTTGGAATGATGGGCTTCCCTTATGTCATTGAATTTGAAAGAAATGAAGAAATGAGTCAAGCCTTGAAAGAGGGAAAATTTTGGGGTGCAACACATACACATCATTTGTTGTCAAGAGGCAATGCTTGCTAGTTTCGTGGAGACTAGTGACTTGTCCCAAACCTAGAATGGGGTTTGAAAGCCTAGGGGACGGGATTTTGTTTGTTATTGGTCTAGGGGACAGACCCGGTTTAAATGTAAAAACCAAAAAATAATAGCAAGTGTTGGTACCACATGACATGAGTTGCATTGAGTTTGCATCGAGTCGCATGGCATATATAATTATTGTATGACAGTATGCGTATGTGTGTGACTTGTTGAATTGAGGGTTGTGAATGTGTGGTTGTTGAATGATATTGGCTGAGAAAAATTGAAGTGTGAGAATATTGGTGTTGGTGTTGACATGCTTTACACATTATTCATTATCTTATAATTTCGATAATTATGTGAATTCTCACCCTTCTGTTGGAATGATGTTTTATACAACATCGCTCAGGTACCGAGGAGTAGAGTTGCTTCTAGCGCGAGGTAGTTATTGGAGTAGCTTGCTTAGTGTATTTATTTATGTTGGGTCGAGTCGTGCTCTGATCATGTAACACTGGGATCGTGTTGATTTATGTTTGAGAGATACATTATGTACTCTTTTATATGTCATTATGTTTATTTGAATTATGTGGAATATTGGCGTTTATGCCTAAGTATTGATTATGAATGAGATGAGTATGAGACTTTCATTATGTCAATTATGATTAAATTAAATCCGCTGCTATATGCAAATGTGAAAGTGTATGAAAAACATGAATTTATTTTAAGTGTTATTGAGCATGACGTGTGGTTTTTGATGTTTTGAAAATTATGTGTGACACCCTTTTATGAATGTATGATGATTTACTCTGATTATTTATATATAGATTCCGCAGGGTTTAGAAGGGTGTTACACTAAATGCTTCTTATCCACTTCCATCGTTGGGGCAACTCTCCCAATATATCCCATTTTATTGATGAACTTTACTAACCGACCTTTTTGGTAATGAGCCTCTTTGGGAAGGTTCTTCTCACTGTACGTGAAAAAGTTACCCCCAATAAAAAGTTACCTTCAGTGCAATACTTGGGGAACAAGTCGATACACCGACCCTCACTCCAATACCGATATCAAAAATTCTAGAGTGGGCTTCCGAGCTGAAGGGGGTCATCGAGAAAAACCGGTCTAAAAAATGTGAGAGCTCTATAAGTGGTTCAAAACCATGAATGATCGGCTTGAAAAGGTGGAGAAAGAGGAACACAATAGGTCTTCCCTTCACGTACTCACACCAATGCTTGTAAAATTTCAGATAAGCCCAACATGAAGGGTGGAGTTGTGAAGGAGTCATGACCAGATGGTTTAGTACTTATACCTTAAAAGTAGTAAAAGGAAGACAAAGATACATGGTGAAGAAAGCACATTAATAAAAAGGAATAACGCAAGCACCATACTTGTCGAATACCCTTTTATCTTTAGAGGGAATCCCGATTCTCCAGTTAGAAGATAAACCTACCTCAGAGGAACATCGTCAAAGCCACTTGGTTTAGCAAAAACTAAAGTAGTGGAAGAAAAAACAAGATTCATCCAAGAATAGGGAGTATGCTTTTGATACCTCTTAATACTTTTCTATGATTTCTTATTCATGATGCACTAAATTTGCAGTTACAGGGAGTGGAATGCAGGAAGAATAGACAATGAAACTGTCAAACTAGAAAAGAAGATTCAGAAAAAGAAGAAAGACAATTATTCCTTAAAAAGAAACAATCTTCTAGAAACCAAAAAGGCTTTATCATACACATACAAGGCTTTCACACATAATATTCAAAAGTTTAAGTTCCTAAGAATTGTCACGATGATATCTACAAAAAGACGGTTGAAGCGTGACACATTAAATACACCGTTCCTCAAAGGGAATGAAACGATTCTTGTTCAATTGTTTTAGAAATATCTAGTGAATATTTTGCATATGGGGTCGCAACATCAAGCCCCCACCTACTTATACATCGTCAAGGGCTTGAGGGGCAACTGTTCTGGACCAACTTGAAAGATCCCAGAAAATCTAAGCCAATCATAACGGTATAAGCTACAGTTCATTAAAGGTCCCAGACCTTCAAAACCTTCCCGATTAATTGAAGATAATTACCCTCGAGACTCCGAAAGATCTCAACTATAAAGCACATCCAACAACCTTCCGCAAAGAATGACACACAAAAGATAGTTCATCATTTTCTTTTATATATATATATATATATATATATATATATATATATATATATATATATATATATATATATATATATATATATATATATATATATATATATATATATATATATATATATATATATATATATATATATATATATATATATATATATATATATATATATATATATATATATATATATATATATATATATATATATATATATATATATATATATATATATATATATATATATAGAGAGAGAGAGAGAGAGAGAGAGAGAGAGAGAGAGAGAGAGAGAGAGAGAGAGAGAGAGAGAGAGAGAGAGAGAGAGAGAGAGAGAGAGAGAAAACACTAAATTGAGGGAACGAGTTTTTAAAAATTACAATTTCATTTCACATTTATTTTTCATATAATAACTTGATTGTTGAAGTGCTAACCTTGCACTCACCTGTCACCTCGGTTTAAATCTCTCACTTCTGATTCTAAAACAGAACAAAAATAAAATAATAATTCGTATATTATAGTTTAAGAGTGTGCTCTTCTCAAGATCTCGTGTTCAAACTCTATTAAATTATAATATTTCTTGCGTTAAACCATTTCATAAAAAACAAAAATTTAATTTTAATCATGTCACCAAAGTAAATAAAATAAAATTGATCTTTTAATTAATTAATCCTAAAGTCAGACACCGAGTTAAAAAAAAAGAGTAAACAACAAATTTCATGTACTTTAAATTTATTTATTACTTAATAGTACTATGTTTTAAAAACTAAATGGAAAATAAAAATAAAATTTCAAGTTATAAATGGAAAATAAAAATAAAATTTCAAGTTATAAATGGAAAATTTATTCAAAATAAATTAAACTATATCAAGGAGGGATAGTTGTTTGTTAGGTTGTATTTATGACGATGTAGCAAATAACATATGGAAGTAGTATCACTCATCCATCAACCCTTGTTAGTAGCGTACGTAACCACAGACAAAACCAAAATATTTAACTAATTTCCAAAATCAAATTAAATTGCTGTCAGAAAAAACAAATAGTACATTCTATAAAAAAACTTAATAAATTAATTAATTAATCAATAAACAACTAAAAAAACAAAGCACAATACAAGGAACGAAAACAAATCCTGCGATTTCGAAGAAACATAGAAGAAAAAAGAAGAAAGACAAGACAACCTTGATTCTCAGCAACCATTCATAACCAATCATTAACACCTTAAGAACCTCGTGGTACCAATTCTTCATCGTTTTCTTTGTTCCATTTTAATTTTTTTAATTTAAAATTTTTTTTTTTTTTTGGGTATATATATATATTTTTGTTTTGTACCCAACTGTTTGAGCTGTTTATGATTAGAAAATTACAAAATGTACACTTGTTTGTTTATTTAATCATTTTAATTTTGAAAAAAAAGGTTGTAATTTGTTTGCATCTTGTGACTTTGTTTTTTCTGTTCTCCCTTGTGATTGATAATTGTTTTTTAAGTTTGTCTTCATTTTGCATGTGATTTTATGTGCATAGTTTTTGTTGCATTGTTGTTGTTGAAAGAAGGAAATGTTGTTTTGCATGCGATGGTTTGTTGAACAGGTGTTTTTGGTTATGATGTTTGAAGATTTGTTGTGTTTTTTCTGGTAGGTGAGAGATATAGGTGTGTTTCTGATGAAAGTCAACAAGAACTATGTTTATTTGTTTGATTGAGTTTCTGAAATGTTGTTTTGATCTAGGTATGTTTTGAAGTATGAGATGTTCCGATGAGAGATTCGGTTTATGATGTTGGTGTTATAAGTGTTTTCTTTTATCGAGTTCATGAACTTTGAAGCAATTAAGGATAATGTTTTGAAGTAGTATTGTTTTGTGAGTATGTTTTTTGGCATTGACCGATTTTATTTCATGACAGATGTGCTGTGTTTCTAGAAAGATGTGAAAGAAGAATTCTGAGTCGTAGTCGTTGAGAAAGGAATACTATAGATCTAAGTTTTTCGATGGATCTGGGAGGCACTGGGAGTTCGTTCAAAGAAGTTCTTGAATCACACATGATTTTTTCAGATTATGAGAAAGCTAAGTCTAAATCGGAGGCCAATTGTAATAATACGTTTGTAAAATCAAGGATTTGTTCGGATGGGAAGAATGGAAATCATTCGAAGAATGGTGTTTATGACTTACTAGAGTGCCCTGTTTGCAAGAATTTGATGTATCCCCCAATTCATCAGGTTCAAGGCTCTTAATTTCGTTTCAATTAGAAACTCACTTCATACAGCTTGGAATTTAATAGCATGTGTTTTTGTGCGTGCGCGTGTTTGAAAAGCTCGTATTTTATAATGCATTACATAAACATGAAACGGAATATGATATCATGCACATCCTACAAAACTAAGATCAGGAATGAGCCAACGGAAGCTTGTCCAATAGGTAAGGAGTTGGCTCATACCCTCGAGGGTTCAACTTTCTCTGCAACCATAAGATCCTCGTTCTTGGGTAATCTGTAACAACCTTTGTGAGTGTTTTCTGAGCCTTGAGATCTAATCTGTAACAACTTTTGTGAGTTTTTTCTGAGCCTTGAGATCTGTCATGAGCCTACGATATAATATTGATTGATTATTTTTGTAGATGTTTGAAGTGATGCTTGTGAGTCGGGCTTTAACTGACTGATCCCAGCCCAAAAAATGTATTAGGTCCAAATTTCGGGCTTGGCCTGATTCAAGAGTTGGACCGAGCAGGCCTTATCATATTCCGGCCTTATCATATCCTGGTCGAATTTTCAGCTGAAACTTTGCCTTACCAACCCAAACATCTCTAACTTTCCTAGACTGTCTTAGTGGTTTGCTAATATTTAGAGTATTGACTGAATAACCTTTTCATTAGTTGATCACAAGTTCGCTTGGTTCCTTTAATTTAATATATAATCGAATCCCCGATACTTAATTTATTTATATGCTTATTTCTGATATTCTTCTTAATTTTAATGTTTTCCTTGATGACTGCATTACCTGTTCCAGTGCCCAAATGGCCACACATTATGTTCAAATTGTAAGACTGCTGTACATAACCGATGCCCAACATGTCATCGTGATCTTGGGAATATAAGGTGTTTGGCTTTAGAGAAGGTCGCAGAATCAATGGAACTTCCTTGCAGATATCAAAATCTAGGTTGTCATGATATATTCCCATACCACACTAAACTAAAGCACGAGCAAAATTGTCGATTTCGTCCATACAATTGCCCTTACGCCGGATCAGAGTGCTCTATGATGTGTGACATTCCAACTCTTATGGCACATCTCAAGAATGACCACAAGGTTGATGTACATGACGGATTCACCTTCAATCATCGATACGTCAAATCAAATCCACACGAAGTTGAAAATGCCACATGGATGCTAACCGTAAGTTATTTTTATGAATTCAATAATCAATTTTTTGTAGTATACAATTTGATGTTTTTACGACTATCTTTGTAGGTTTTCAATTGTTTTGGAAAGCACTTTTGCTTGCACTTTGAGGCATTTCTACTCGGCACAGCTCCTGTTTATATGGCGTTTTTACGATTTTTAGGAGACGAGAAAGAGGCAAAGAAATTCAGGTATAGTTTAGAGGTTGGTGGAAATAGCCGCAAGCTCATATGGCAAGGAATCCCAAGGAGCATTCGCGAGAGTCATAGAAAAGTGCGTGATAGTCAAGACGGACTCATCATTCAGAGAAACCTAGCTCTTTATTTCTCCGGTGGCGATAAACAGCAGTTAAAGTTGAGGATCACTGGTCGTATATGGAAAGAAGAATGAAAAAATGGCGATAAAAAACTATTAAAGTCGAGGATCAATTGTTGAAAATGGAAAGAAATATGTAATTATTTTAGGGATGTGATACAATGTTTCTGTACACTCTGAAACATTTTAAAGGTTTTGGTCTCTGCAGAGAATGAAGCTTTTATTTGTCTTCATAGGCTCTTGTAGACATGAAAGGTAACATTCAAGGTGGCATTGAGGTTTATCTTCTTTTATTTTTATTTAAATGACATTAATGTTTGAAACTAATAAAGTGTGTGTTTTTGAATGTGAATTACATGCCAGGTTGACAGCTATCTTTTTATTTTACTTGTTTATTTCTTTTTACAAGTTATCATGTCTATTGTTCAATTGGCATCGCCAGACACTTGTATGATTTATGTATGAGATGTGTAAGAAAAGTCAAGTGTTTAAAAAGTTCGACAAATATTCTAAAAATGAGTTTTTCTTTGTCCGACACTCGATGAATTGGTGTCTAACACATGTATATCACTCGTATCATAATAATTCACTCGTATCACAAATAATTTAGACGTCACATGTTTCAAATAATTTTTTCACTCCTTCCTATATATATATATATATATATATATATATATATATATATATATATATATATATATATATATATATATATATATATATATATATATATATATATATATATATATATATATATATATATATATATATATATATATATATATATATGTGTGTGTGTGTGTGTGTGTGTGTGTGTGTGTGTGTGTGTGTGTGTGTGATGGTATATTGGTATAATGTATCTCTGTTGTGTCGAGTTGACATGTTATGGCATCTGTGTCGGAGCCTGTTTTGTTGTTAGAGAAAAAAGTGTCTCTGTTGTGTCGTGTTGACATGTTCTGACATTTGTTTCGGAGTTTGTTTTATTGTTAAAGAAAAAGTATCTCTTTTGTGTCGTGTTGGCATGTTTTGGTATTCGTGACAAAGTCTATTTTATTGTTAGAGAAAAAATGTCTCTTTTGTGTTGTGTTGACAAGACCCGATCCACGGGGCAGGCCACTTAAGCTGCTTGCCTTGGGCCTCTAATTTCATTTATAATATTATATGAAGTCATTATTATACTGCAATCGTTTGAATTAAAAAAAGTGATGTCTTTATTATTATTGTTTCATCTTGGTTTTTGTGTTTAGGAGAAAGTAGTTATAGTGTGCATTTAAGATTTTGTAATGCTATGCAATTTTTGTTTTTTTTTATCTTAATTTGTTACACTTGTTTTTATTTCAATAATAAGTACAATTGTTTGATTTATTATTAGAGGATAATAAAAATAAAGGATAAAATATATTGTTTAATAGTTTCAAATACTACTAATTGTATTTTATTTATTTTTTATATACTACTAATTGTATTTTATTTATAATGAACTAATATTTAGTAAATAATTTTTATTTTTAAATAAATGAGTAAATTAAATTTATATTTTTAAAATTTATTTATAAATTTGTCTTGAGCCTTTATATGTGTCGGGCCGGCCTGTGTTCTGATATTCGTGTTGAAGTCTGCTTTATTGTTGGAGAAAAAGAGAGGAAAAATGTAACGAGAGTGACTTAGTTTAGTTTTATATAAAACAAAACATTCAAATCCTTACGAGGACACATTTTCACTTCACTCTTGATGAAAACAAAATGGGTCCTCTTTCTTTTTGTAATAAAAAACCTTGTATTATTTAATTATTTGAGTGGACTCAATAGAGAAAGTTACAATGTAGTTGGTGTTTTGGACTGGGCCAAGACATGCCCTTTAGTCGGACATGCTCAACCCAAGGCTATGATGATGAGGCCCAACAAGGTCCAATTTCTTCTGTCAGGCAGGAGCCTCAACAAGGCACATCCGTCGGACAGAAGATCCACCTGACGGGGAAGCCCACACACTTCCCCCACGTTCTCCACGTGCTCCCCCACGCGGGGACACGTCATCAGACAACTACCCATGTCTGAAATAGATTGTCAGTCCACCTTCCGAAGATCACGGGGCAGTTGATCTAGGGCAAAGATCACGTGCTGGTCTTCACCACGCCACGTAAGCCATGACAGTTACTTGTGTTGGGCTTAGCAATCCAGCCCAATGTAACGTAACTATTGGTCCTGCGCTGGTGGCACATTATAAATACCCTCTTTCACTAGAGGGTCGGGTATTTTATTCTCCACACCTTCTCTCTGTACTTGCTCTCTCTAGTTCCGTTACTTACTTAGGCATAAGAGCATTTTGCAGGTACACCCCCTTTCTCCTCCACAACTCCGGTGAAGGCATCAGATCACGACGCGTGGCAGGTCACTGATTCCTTTCTGATCAGGTGAGGTCAGTGGCGCCGTCTGTGGGAACCTCTGATTCCCTGTTCTTTCTCCTATCTGAGCACAGCAGCTCAAGAACCAAAGCAAAATTAACAAACAACTTCCATTCCAATCATGGTCAGCCCGCGCCACAACAATGCTCCAGGATCTGCCTAGGCCCCCTTCTCCAACGTGGACGACAACGACCCCAACACGGTCGTCCGTGGAGAAGATGGTGACCCCAGGGACATGAGCACCGCCTCTCCCTCCTCAGAAGACGCGGCCTACAACACCGTCCAACGCTTAGACAACTCGATTGTCTACCAGCCCATCCCGGTCCCAGTTGGCTCTAACCCTACCGTGGTGGCTTTGTTCGTGGCGATCAACCAAACCAACTCGATGATCTTCGGGAAGAACGAACGAATATGGATGCTCGAAAGGGAACAACCATCTCGCTCTCCCCCACGGAGACACCGTCGTCCTGTTTCCCTTAGTTCGTCCCCTCCTCTGCATAGACGCTAGTGCTCGATTTCCATCAGCCTGTCTCCTCCCTCGCGGAGGACGCGGTTCGTCGAAGAGTCACGAAGTCCCTCTCCCCTGCCGACGGGGCGCCGCCCTTGTTTGGAGCAACCTCAATAGCAAGTTTCCCACAAACGGGACATGTCACCTCCCTGAAAAGAGCGACATTCCCCGACTCAGAAGAAGAAAGCCGTAGGGGGCCCTTCCAGACTGAGATCTCGGTCAAGAAGTCCCCCACGTCGAAACCGAAACCACCAGGAGTCGGCTTCCCCCTCACTGTCTCCCATTAGGAGCGACGAGGACCTCTAGCGCTCACCGCTATGCAGAGCCATCAAGGAGACCCCGCTGGCCGTTGGAATGGAGAAACCCCCAATCTTGGCTACGTACGATGGCACGACCATATCGAAAGCATATACGCTATGATCGACTACCAAAATGTCCAGGGAGCCATTAAGTGAAGGCTGTTGCCGACCACCCCGAGAAAGGGATCCATGGCATGGTACAAACGCGTCACGCCCGACTCCATTACCTCATGGGGCAAACTGAAGCGGTAGTTCTCCAGGCACTTCACAACTTCTCGGCGCCATCCAAAGACAGAAGCGGCCCTGGAAGCTATTATCCAGAGGAGGAACAAGCCTCTCCGAGATTACATAGAGAGGTTTAATCGCGAAGCCGTCCAAGTGTCCACCACAGACGATATGAAGAGATTTTTGATATAGAGGGGCATACGACCATACTCTGACTTTGCCAAGGCCGTTGGAATCGCTTGTCCCCGCACCTTGAATGCCCTCTTCCACAAGGCTCAATCATACATCGAGTACGAGGAGATAGAAGACTCAAACACTGCCAGGGACAGAAGGAACCAGGAAGGTTTAAGAGGCGTCAGGCATGAGGAAGCCCCTCCGCCTCGATGCAATGAACAAAAAAGGCGTGAGGACCGACCCGCGAACAGAAAGGGCCAGTGGGCCGATTCACAGAGTACACGTTACTCACGGCTCCCCGCAAGCTCATCCTAGCCAAATGCATCAATTTGGAGTTTCAGATGGGCGAAATTCGGTTCCCAAAACCAACACCCCCGAAGCCCAACATGGACAAATCCAAGTATTGCCGGTTCCACCGAAGCCATGGGCACGTCACGGAAGATTGCATCCACCTCAAAGATGCAATCGAGATCTTAATTAAAGAAGGGCATCTGAAACAGTATACTCGAAGGGGTGAAAACCCCCGAATTAAGACCTGCGAGGCCAAGAAGGTCGAGGAAGCGTCAGCCCCTTCCAACGAATCAGGATTGCAGGTGGCTCTATACATCTCCCGATCAGAAGATTTCCTCCTCTTTAACGAGCCCTCCAGACCACTGACCGCCCACAGTCCTTGGGAAGATTTCCACACCGCATTGGTGATATCCGGGGGAGGGGGGAGGGGACCCAACATGCTGTCTGTCAGGTCGGTCAAGAGGAAGTTCGAGAAACTCATCGACAAAAGCTCGAAGATAAACGCTACCCTTGACAGGTTCAAAGGGTAATCAAACCTGATCACCTTTTACCTCGAGGAACTTCCCAGAGGAGCACCCAACTCCAACATCCCCCTTCTGATCAGAGCTCATATGGAGAACTTCGACGTCCGCCGAATCCTAGTCGACCAAGGGAGTTTAGTGATCATCTGCTATTCAAAGCAGGCATTCGTATGTGGTGGTGTTGTTCCGACCTCAAGGCTTTAACAACACCACCACTAAGCCTTGGGGATATGTAGAGCAACTTGTCACCTTCGGAGCCGAGGAGACAGCCCGGTAGGTGAAAGTTCGCTTCCTGCTAATTGAATGCCTTCCTTGTATCAGTGCATCTTGGGACGACCAACTTTGGTCGAGCTTACCGCAGTACCGTCGACAGTCCACCTGAAGATGAAGTACTAAACGACCAGAGGGAGGGTTGTCACCCTCCACGGGGACATTGAGGCGGCCAAAAGATGCTTCAAGGCGGCGCTCAAAGGACTCAGCTCCATCAACGTCCCCTCCGAGTCGATCGGCAGACCTGCCCTGACAAAAGAGCCGAAACCCCTCTCGCACGTCAACTTTGTCGACCTCAACAACCGTTTCTCGAGTAAGAAGGGACAAAGTGAAGGGTCCGAAGACACATCCCCAACAGACAACAGGCGGCTCTCCCATCCGACATG